GGGACAGTTCTGCAGTGCCACTGAGAGCTGGGACAGTTCTGGAGAGCCACTGAGAGCTGGGACAGTTCTGCAGTGCCACTGAGAGCTGGGACAGTTCTGCAGTGCCACTGAGAGCTGGGGGAAGTTCTGCAGTGCCACTGAGAGCTGGGGACAGTTCTGCAGTGCCACTGAGAGCTGGGGGAAGTTCTGCAGTGCCACTGAGAGCTGGGGACAGTTCTGGAGAGCCATTGAGAGCTGGGGACAGTTCTGGAATGCCACTGAGAGCTGGGGACAGTTCTGCAGTGCCACTGAGAGCTGGGACAGTTCTGGAGAGCCACTGAGAGCTGGGACAGTTCTGGAGTACCACTGAGAGCTGGGACAGTTCTGCAGTGCCACTGAGAGCTGGGGACAGTTCTGCAGAGCCACTGAGAGCTGGGGACAGTTCTGCAGTGCCACTGAGAGCTGGGGACCAGTTCTGGAATGCCACTGAGAGCTGGGACAGTTCTGCAGTGCCACTGAGAGCTGGGGACCAGTTCTGGAATGCCACTGAGAGCTGGGGAGAGTTCTGGAGAGCCACTGAGAGCTGGGACAGTTCTGCAGAGCCACTGAGAGCTGGGGACAGTTCTGGAGTGCCACTGAGAGCTGGGGACAGTTCTGGAGTGCCACTGAGAGCTGGGACAGTTCTGCAGTGCCACTGAGAGCTGGGGACAGTTCTGCATTGTCACTGAGAGCTGGGACAGTTCTGCAGTGCCACTGAGAGCTGGGGACAGTTCTGGAGAGCCACTGCGAGCTGGGGACAGTTCTGGAGTGCCACTGAGAGCTGGGACAGTTCTGGAGTGCCACTGAGAGCTGGGGACAGTTCTGGAGAGCCATTGAGAGCTGGGACAGTTCTGGAGTGCCACTGAGAGCTGGGGGAAGTTCTGCAGTGCCACTGAGAGCTGGGGACAGTTCTGGAGAGCCATTGAGAGCTGGGGACAGTTCTGCAGTGCCACTGAGAGCTGGGACAGTTCTGGAGAGCCACTGAGAGCTGGGACAGTTCTGGAGAGCCACTGAGAGCTGGGGACAGTTCTGCAGTGCCACTGAGAGCTGGGACCAGTTCTGCATTGTCACTGAGAGCTGGGACAGTTCTGCATTGTCACTGAGAGCTGTGACAGTTCTGCAGTGCCACTGAGAGCTGGGGACAGTTCTGCAGTGCCACTGAGAGCTGGGACAGTTCTGGAGAGCCACTGAGAGCTGGGACAGTTCTGCAGTGCCACTGAGAGCTGGGACAGTTCTGGAGAGCCACTGAGAGCTGGGACAGTTCTGCAGTGCCACTGCAGGCCCTGGCAGTGTGTGCAGAGGACACTCCTCAGTCACTGGCTCCCAGAGCACCAAGTGGAGCCTCCTGGATGTGGCAAGCCCCTGCCCCCGCGGGAACACGCCAGGATTCCCCGCCCAGTCTCCAGTCCCATCCTGCCAATGGAAACCCAGCTCTTCCCTAATGGCACCTCCACCTCCTCCAGCACCAGCCAGGGGAGCTGGCTGCACCTGACCCCAAACCCACGCTCCTGTGGATGTCCTGCCATCACACCTCTGATTTCTCCTCTGGTGGACAATGTTTTCTTTTGTATCATGTGAAAAAGTTGAATGAATGTGATCGATTCAGGCTACTATTCCAAATAAAACCTATTTTGGGACTTTGAGCTTGCTAGTTAATACCCACACTGGGCTGGTTATGGTAGAAGGAGAATAACAATCCTTTTTAATTGTCCAGCACTGTGGGAATGCAGAGCTTCCCTCTGGCTGCCCTGGCACCCTGGCAGGGGTCAGAACCCCCCTGGATAGAGCCCCCAGAGACAGGCTGTGATCTCTGTCCATGGAAAAGAGTTTTCAATCTTACAGGATCAATTACCAGCTCTCAGTGTTTGATATGAGTAATAATTAAGTGTGGCATGGGTGCAAAAGTAAAATTTTTGGATTGTAGATAAGGGGTCCAAAGGGGACAAGCTGGAGGAAATTGGGTGTGCCTTGTCCTTTTTCTCCTTCTTCATGCCCTCCATGTCTCACTGTGGTGTTGGCATTTTTCTGTTGTTCAGGCTGGGGACACACTGTCCAACGTAGGTGACAGATATTGGCACGTTCTTGTAAATGCAGCCCAGGGAGTTTCTGGTATTTAATGTTTGTCACATCCCACTGAGGGCAGAGCCCCACACGCTGCCCTGCAGGACAGAGCTGGGCAGGGCAGCAGAACATGTGAGAGATAAACAGAATAAACAACCTGGAAACCAGCACAGACCAATTATAGCTTCTGCTTTGGCTGTGGGGCAGAAAGACAGAGACTTTCTGCAATCTCAAAATCATCAATACCACAGATTCCCACACAGCACCTTTCTCCCCTGTTAATATTTACTTCCTAATGGATATGGTGGCAGGCTGATAATGACAGGGGAGCTGGAGAAGGGCAGGAAGGGGCATGGATTCTTGGCAGCAGGAGGGCACAGGGAGGTTCCTGGGGGACAGTGATGCTGTGAAATGCCACCTCCCGTTTCCTCAGGGCAGTGGGATGGTGCCCTCCCAGCAGCAAAGGGAGGGAGGGAGGGATGGAGGGCATCACCTCTGCAAAGCCACCCAAGGAAGAGGGAAGGCACAAAACTCTGGAGCAGCACCTGGAGAAGTTCTCTCTCCAAGCAGGACATGTATGTGAAAGGGTGCCAAGCCACGAGCTCCTCCATCCTTCCAAAGAAACTTTTTGAGAGGCTGGGAGAGCTGGGGATGTCCAGCCTGGAGAAGGGAAGGCTCCAGGGAACTCTTAGAGGCTTTTCCAGAGCCTAAAGGGTCTCCAGGGGAGCTGGAGAGGGTGGGACAAGGGCCTGGAGGTACAGGACAAGGGGATGGCTTCCACTGCCAGTGGGCAGGGCTGGGTGGGAGATTGGGAATTGGGAATTGTTCCCTGGCAGGAGCCAGGGAATGGCTCCCAGTGCCAGAGGGCAGGGCTGGGTGGGAGATGGGGAACTGGGAATTGTTCCCTGGCAGGGTGTGCAGGCCCTGGCACAGGGTGCCCATCCTGGATCCCTGGCAGTGCCCAAGGCCAGGCTGGACAGGGCTTGGAGCAACCTGGGACAGTGGAAGGTGTCCCAGGTGGCACTGGATGGGCTTTAAAGTCCCTTCAAGCCAAACCATGCTGGGATTCCATGATTGTGGATGTCTGACGTGCTGGAGTTTTCACTTTGAGCTACTGACAGCTTTTGTTCTCATGGCTCATGGACCTTAACAGGTCCAAAGGCCAACAGCCACGGGTGCCACCTGAGCCTTCAACAGCTTTGACTTGTCTACCATAAAGACAATCCAAATAATCCAGGATTTCTGCCATATAACTGTGTTTTGATGATGGGTTCAGTCTAGAAGAACTACACAAACTCTCCTGAGCAACCTAAAGCAGACCTGGCAGGGTCTAAGGGAGAGAAAAACACAGAGGAGAAGCTCCTGAGAATTATCACTCTGCATTAATCCTTTCCCTGGGACTCCTCCACGTGCAAAGGAACACGACTGAACTATTGGATTCACAGACAGGTGAACGTGGGGACTGTTAGAAAGTTTAAAGCTGTGAATGGTGAAGCTCAGAAAGAGGATTTGGCCTTGTTAGTCTGACGTGGTGGTTTTGCCAAGAGGGGAACGAGCTGGGATGTGAAAAACAAGGCTCCATCTGCTGATTTTAGGGAAGCAGCACTTCCTAACATTTTCCTGTTAGATTTTCAAAGGAGGGCACTGGGTTGTTTGCTCTGCAGGCAGAGCCAATTCCAGCCTGAGATTCCAGCTGTCTCCTCCTCCCTGTCCCAGCCAGGAGCACCTTTCCTGGCAGCCGGAGGGAAGGGGTCACATCACACCCTGACAAGTCCTTGTCACAAAACCCAGCGAGCTCAATCCCCTCCTCTGTCCCAGCCACTCTGGGAAGGCCCAGACCCAGAGGCCTCACCAGTTCCCAGCAGAGGAGGTGACAGATTTCCCACCTGACCAGGAACATGCAGCCTTACCAGAAGCATAAAAGTCAGGGTCGAAGTATGCCATGAGGAAGAAGTTGAAGACAAGCAGCAGGAAGCCAGAAAACGTTATCAAATTTGGGGCCAGCCAGGTAGGGAAGATCTATGGGAAAGCAGCAAAAGAACAGATGAACTCATTAAAACATGGACTGAGGGGCAAGGTGCTGCTCCAGCCGTGGCTGCACCGGCTGGGTGTTAGACAACGCTGCCAGGAGCACCCGGAGCATCCCGGGGCAGCAGGAAGCGTGGGGCTGGGATGCAGGGATCCAGGGATTCGGGGCAGGCTGCAGGCAGCCCCTCACTCATTAGTGGCACCACAAAGGAAGCAGCTGATGGTGTTACAGAGCTGAGCTGGGCCGTGCCGTCCCGCTCTGGGACAGGGACTCACCTTGACAACGGCGTTCCAGAAGGGATGCATGACATACAGGGACAGGGGGTTGCTGTCCACGGCGCTGTACTGGGAAACACAAAAGCCAAGAGTAAGGGAGGGCTCCAGCAGCCTGCAGAAACTGCCAGAATCTTCTGAGCCAGAAGATTCCAGAACAGCTGGAATCTTCTCAGCCCCATCCTGTGTGCAACCCCCATGGGACTCCTGATGGACCCTCCACCCTTTGGAAGTTTGATGGAAGCCAGGTCTGCTCCAGGGGTTCCGTGTGGTGGAGAAGTCTCTCCTCCGACCCAAAGAAAGGCTCAGCAGTCTCTGTTGTTGGGTCTCAAGGCAGTTTATTGCAAATTATCTAGAAGATTTTCTCCTGGAGCTGCTGTGGTTTGCTCAGAGCTCAGGCAGAGGCACACACACACCCTGACATCCTCTCTGACCCCGACTGCTTCTTCTCTCCCCCCCAGGGCTGCTGCTGTCTTTTATATGGTACATTACGTGCTACATATTTACATTTTTTCCCAGTGCCTATTACCTATATTAAATTATTTTCTATCTTTTATATGGCACATTACATGTTACATGTTTACATTTTTTCCCAATGCCTATTACCTATATTAAATGATTTTCTATCTTTTATTTGGTACATTATGTGTTACATGTTTATAGTTTTTCCCCAATGCCTATTACCTATATTAAATGGTGATTTTCTATCTTT